CGCATAACACGGGGCGACGGATTACATCCTCGCAGAAAGGCTATATCGCTACTTAAATATTCCGGAATTAATTATCGGTCTGAGCTCAGTCGAACTTAAAGTCATTCTGAATGGTTGCAACCCGCGAATAAAGTCATTGATTCTAGATGTGTAGTAATTTAACTTAACTTACGTTATCGATGCACGCATGATTCGGATAATCACGCCTGGTAGATATTATCTTAACAAATATTGCGATTCAACCCGTGGCTATTTGCCAGCGATTAACGTTTACGAAACACCGTATTACTCATGAAAAGTTAATTATCATTTAATTGAGTTCGCTCTTCAATTGTCGACTTATATATACTATTACTCGAAATACTTATATAACTTGAATTAACACGTAAGTTACTGTGTCAATTGATAGAAAGAAAGAGCAATATATTGAAGTTACAGAATCTCACACAATATTTATATAAGCCTAAACATTCTCTCGAATGCTTTACTTTGCATATGTTCATTTACTTAAGTGAGATATATATATATATATATATATATATATATATAAATTATTATCGACGAATTCTCAATTGACACATTACTTCAATTTATGTATGCTTTGTATAATAGTGCTATATTTATGTAACAGGCGTTTTGAATCATATGTTTAACTTACATGATCCTTTCTTGAAACAGAAACAAAGATTGAAATCACTTGGCTGTTTTCTCTGGTTGAGATGCAAAAATAACAGACTTCTTCTTCTTAAACTTAATCTTGATGAGAGATTAACTTCTTGTCGTGAAACATGAGAAAGGATTATGCAAGGATAATTCAACATTATCTGATTTTGTGTTTATGCTATGTGTTCTTTGTAAAACATTTTATTCCGATAAATTCGCTGATTATAACATAACTGCCATGAAAATACACAATCTCTTTACCGACATAACAACAAGAAAAGTATCGTTCCCTTTTTCTATAATTCTTGAGCTCAGGTTCCTGCGCGAACTTGTACGTTTCAAACACGCGCCCTGCTAACAGATACATGTAAAATATATCTGAGTGCAATATTAAAGTATTCTAACAATTAATACGTGAGTTAATTATTATTGGATATTCGCAACAGTGTCTCGCGCCAAGTACACGCGAAGCGAGACCGTATATATATCTTTACGCGGCGCGACGAGTTGCGAGTACCTGAAATTTTGAGATCCCGATATAATCGTTACGCAGCTGGATCGGCTTACAGCATATACGTGTGCGCTCAGTGCAAACAGTGCGTTCTACGTTCAGCGCGCTCATTTGCCGGGAAAGAGGCATGTTAAATTTTCTTCACCCGAGGGATAATAACCTCAAGAAAAAAGTGATGACAGATAGTGGTAACATATGTTTATATTGACCGCAGGAAGCTAATGCTGAGATTTTTAAGAAAGAAGGTATATCCAAAATCGCACACGTACGTATATGCTGTCTTAAAGTTG